ACTTTGTTTTCTTTTATAACAAAAGATTCTTGACTATAAAGAAACGTTTAAGGTGAATAGTTTTCAAGGTAAACAACAAGATGATTCAAAAAATCTACCTGTATCCAAACTAATTAAGGAAAACCCCAGACAAAAAAAGTAATTTATGATAATGAAGAAAGACGCAGTTGATAATTGATGATTAAAGTCTATTTTAAGACCTTCATTGCATTTCAAGGATGTTGCAACAGATCATGTTATTTATTCATATTATATCTCCATTAATTTTTGTTTATTGTCTTTATTTTTGATTTTAATAAACAAAGTGACACAGGTTAAATCTTAATTGTTGAAAAAATTCGTGCGGTAAAAATACAAACTCAAGTTAAGATTCGAGATACATTTGGAGTGTTTATAACCGCTCTATAATTGATAACGTATCTAAATGTCATCGTACGTTAACTGTTAACGTATGATATTGATTATGTAAACGAACAAAAAAAAATTTGAGACAAATAAATTGATATAAATTGTTGTTATTGAGACACAGCTGCTTTGAATAAAAAAAAAACAAAAGGAAATGATTAACTTTGTTTCCATAATTAATTCGTTTTTGTTAAGACAAATCGAAACATTTAAAAATAACTTGTCTTATCAACAATTTCTAGCTCAACTCTTATCTTTTTAAGTAGGTAAATAATGAAATATGTTTTTATGCCATATATTTTCCATAGGTTACATCATTTTACTCAGTTTATTGAGGTGTTTTTCGCTTTATTGTTATAAAATGAAACTTTTCTTGTTTGGCATATTTGCAAAACTTTAATGCACTTATATAACTAATCGTTTGAACGCTTTCTCTTCGCAAACGTTGCCAAGTTGAATAACGCAATAACAATTTAAATAAATTCATTGAAATTTCACAACATATTAAATATTAATTGTAAATGGTTCCTTTTTTTTCACAATAATTATTACGGGTGATGATTGAGACATAATTTAAATTATTGTTAATGCCTAATTATATAATATATTAAATGGTTATATGTTTAATTAAAATGAAACTTTTCACTTCATCGGGACGATGTAATTCTACAAGTGATGATAGAACTAAAACAACGAAAAGTTGATGAAGAAAATGAAACCTATGACAAGAATTGGATTTATGCTGATATGAGAAACTAGTTTTAATTTAGGACTCTGTTCTGTATATAGCAATATGTATCTCATGGTCCATGCTGCGATGTTGTTGCCCAGCATTCCTTCTAACACTTTGTTCATGAGTCGAATTCTGAATTATTAAAGTGACGAAAGGTAAGAGGAGGTCCGAGCATGAATAATTTTCATGGCTAAAGAATGCGAAGGATTAGACTAGATATTTACAACCACCACTAAGACTGGCACATGACAGAGAACGATTATGAACATCTATGAAGCTGACACCTTAAAAAGAATATGAAGATCAAAGACTTGATTAGGAAGACTGTGGATGAGCTTAAGGTGTCTGTTCTTATTGCTGATGTGTCGTCATAAAAACTCATTGGAGGGTACTTGTAAAATATGGGTTGTAATGGAATAATATATCCTGTTGAACATACTTTTCTTGCTACCCAATCCAAATAGACACAAAACCACAAAACTTTAGCACAATCTATTCAGAAAACCATTGATTGAGTACGGTGTCCATATTATACAGAAAGGAGATATTATAAGCATAATAAGCAAAATCCAGATTCACTAATGAACAGTTTTCCTTATTTGCACAAGAAGTTTATTGGACAAAGCGTGTAGATTAATATAAAAATGAATCACATGTAATGGCTGACAACGAGCACTCATAAACATTTGAATAGGAAATCTTGAATCGATTGGAAACACTCTTCTAGTCGTCTAAACAAGGTAATACCATTCTAAGAACCCAATGTTTAATACTATGTCATACCATCATAGATGTAAGATACAAAGCATAATAGATATATACAGGGTGCTTCAAAAATCCGCTGACAGACTTATAGAGTAGATAATACATGAAAAATTAACATGAAAAGTCTTAATATACATGGGGTCGCAAATGCCTCCTTAACGAAATATAGCGGGTCAAAGTTTCTGTAAAATTAAACATTATCTGCAATAAAAAGCGCTTTTTCAAAAATATTGTTGACGCCATTGCTAATTTTGTTAAACGGGCAGTATTTTCGAGTAAAGTGATCAATTATCTATCAGTGTTTTTTAAAAAATATACAATGTTTATACTCCAATATATTATATAAATTTATTAACTCTACCGGTTTCGGCCTAGACCATCGTCAGGAGTCTCGTTGTATAAGGTTGAGGTTAGGAAACACATTCAAATTTACATTCAATTATATTCAAATTTTGATATATCATTAATGGACTAAACTTAAAAAATAAGAATGAGGATGTAGCAGATGTGTCAAGTGAAACATATAATGTCGGGTGGAACATAATGATATTATATATTTTTTAAAAAACACATATAATATACCAATATGGATGAAAACCCATTTACCAATTATCTATCAATTGGTCTCTTGCAAATCTTAGATCAAAGCAATGGTTTTTAAGAAAAACACGTTTGTAGCAAAATTTGTTAATCCAATCAAAAACTGTTGCTTTAATCAAAGTTTTGTAGAGACCAATTGATAGATAATTGATCACTTTACACGAAAATACTGCCTATTTGACAAAATTAGCAATGGCGTTGAAAATATTTTAAAGAAAGGGCTTTTTATTGCAGATAATGTTTAATTTTAAACAAACTTTGACCTGCTATATGTCGTTAAGGAGCCATGTATATTAAGACTTTTCATCCTAATTTTTGATGTATTACCTGCCCTACAAGTCTGTCAGTGGTTTTCTGAATCACCCTGTATAATAGATACCTCAGGTTTGAAATATATGAGATACATCTTAAGATGTGTTCTCTTTCATCTTTACATGACGTTTCAGCCCAAAATGAGCTTTGGCCTCCTTTATTTTCTGCATCTACACCTGTCTATCTCCTACCGCTCTCCTCTATACTCGAATAAACAAAAGGTAGCATGTATCCTCCTGTATTTCATCAAGATTCAAGATCCTCTTTGCCAACCCTTTATTCTCGCCATATATTCCGCTCATTGTAACAGTTACAATCTGATAAATTCTGAGAGTGAGGTTCTTTAAAAAGATTATACAATTTTTGATTAAATTTAGATCTTTTGAACCTATTAAGCATGTCTTTTTTTCTTTCCGTCATAGTCCACGTCTCACTTCCATAACTTGCAATAGGCCTTATTACTGTTTTGAAAACTCGCAGCTTGTTATTGCAGTATACGTTTTTGGAATTTTAGCTGTTAGCAGGAGTTTAAATTCAGTTTGCTGCGTTCATTCTTCTACGAATTTCTTTTCCTTCCGTACCAGCTAAATTCAGCTCTACTCCCAGGTATATGAAGTGATCCATTGCCTCCACATCGTCTTCTAATATGATATGTGATATGATAACCGTAATCCTTATGATAACCCTGACTTTTCGGCCGTATTAAGAGAAGTACGACTAAACCCGAATGTTTCTGGCTCTAAGAATTGTGTTAGTTCTAGTGCAAAACTACAACTAATGAAAGCCGTCTTGAGCGACGTGTGGCTAAATCCGAATGTTTCTAGTTCTCGATCTAGTGTTAGTTCTAGTTTTACACTAGCACTATCACTAGAACTAACACAAGACCTAGAACAAGAATCATTCGGGTTTAGCCGTCTTGAGAGACGTGTGGCTAAATCCGAATGTTTCTAGTTCTCGATCTAGTGTTAGTTCTAGTTTTACACTAGCACTATCACTAGAACTAACACAAGACCTAGAACAATAATCATTCGGGTTTAGTCGTCTTGAGAGACGTGTGGCTAAACCCGAATGTTTCTAGTTCTAGGTCTAGTGTTAGTTCTAGTTTTAGTGCAATGAAAATATGATGTGATATCTTATGCTAGCTAGCGCTACCTACCACTGTCACTAGAACTAACATTAGACCTAGAACTAGAAACATTCGGGTTTAGCCGCACGTCTCGCAAGACGGCTAAACCCGAATGATTCTAGTTCTAGGTCTTGTGTTAGTTCTAGTGATAGTGCTAGTGTAAAACTAAAACTCTTCAGACGCACGGCTAAACCCGATACTTTCTAGTTCTAGGTTTAGTGTTAGTTCTAGTTTTAGTGCAATAAAAATATGGGACATAATGAAATTCACTGTAGACAAAAAAGTATGTTTCTGATTAAAGCAGAGGAATGAACAAATTTACCTTACCAAGAAAACAAAATGAGCTACCAAAGCAAGGAACTTTAACATGCAGTAAATGAATTTGAAACCACATCTTTATAATCCTCTAATTTTTTTGTTCATTTAAACAATGAAGGTCTTGTAAAAATTGCGTCAATCGATTTTAGATCCCTTTTTAATGATAATACCTCAATCGATAACCATCAAGAAAAATTTCAAAATAATCAAAGTATTTTTTTGTTTCAGATAAATAGAATAGCGTCTATCACACTTATCAAACATCCTTATTATACATGATTTATTTCATAAATCAAAATCAATACAATAAAAACATAAATATTTAAATTATACAAATTGAATGAAATCACAATCACGCGATAGTGCACGCTTACTCAAGACACGATTTAATTAATAACAAAGTAAACAAACGGAAGTTGTTCACGCACGATGCAATAACGGCCTTCAATGATTGACCTTCTTGCTTGATATTTACGATCTTTGCTTGCGGTCGACCTTTTTATTCGCAATTTAACGACCTTTTCTTAAAGAAAAATGAACCGCGTCAATGCTGTTTATAATAAAATGTTGCTAGTTTAGTTTCGAATTAAGCTCAATTAAATTGTTGAAATCAAATTGCTAAATTGTGTTGTTGACTATTGAAGAGAAATCGAGTTAATAAGAAAATAACGGAATTGAAATTATTGTGAAACAATTAATTTTTATATGTTAAAGTAACTACAAAAAGAACCTTGAACAAGGTATTATTAAAAATATTTAAAAAATACATACCAAAACAACTCCATTCCATTGAAAAACGTTACATGTTCTAATAAACTCCCTGGCATGATTAGCGTGTGTCGTCAAATGAAATTCAAATTGAATCTCAGCTTCTTCTAAGACCGGTGCAACTTTTTCTTCAAAAATTGATTTACCTTTTCCGGGTCCACTCTTTGGATTACAAATAACAAGCAGCTTTCGCTGCTCGTTAATTCGACTCATGATTGAAACGTCCGCGTTTGGTTCCGTTTGATTATCACCTCTTATCAGTTGTTTGATTGCGGTTCGCCAACGTTGTGCTTCTTTGTGATTTTCCTCGTATTTATCAAACGATCGAAATCGCAAAGTGATTATGGTTTTTTCTCGTTTAGAATTCCCGTTTTGTTTGTTTTGAAGTACATAAGCGTAAACGTACAGGTAGGTGCTCGCGTCGGTTTCGTCCTGTTCCGGAGAATTTTCGTCGACAACTTTCAAACCACCGCCAGCGCGTGGCAAAGACTGACACGAACACGACGTGGTCGGCTTCTTGCTCCGTAAACACCGACATCCCACTATGTCTTTGGTGGGAATCGTTTGTTCCTTTACGTGGCTCTGACTTTCTTTTATCAAACTTAAACCTCCCGTTGTTAAACGTACGCGAAAAACTGAATTTTTCTTTGTTAAAACATAAAAGGTTTCTTCTAATAAAATTCTTTCTTGAGACATTTTTTTTATTAAGTTTTAAAAATATTTCTTAAATATAATTTTTAAACATTTCTCGGGTGGTTTTTGGGAGAGTTAACAGGTAGAAGCTTGCGTAACCAACGTCGAACGAAAACTGAGAATGATTTATTGTGTGCGGTAATCATAGTTAAAACATCGCGATACGTTCACTTATCGACAATTTATCTGGCGTTCGTTGGTTGGAGGCACTTCGTCAGAAGATAATTGGCAGTAATTTAGAGCGTTTAAATGGTGTGTTGTTGTCGCTCTAGCCGCGGGATACGTTCTGCGGGAACTCAGCAACCTGGTGTTTACCAGCCAAACGAAAGTATCGATTGCTTTATTCTGTTCGTCACGTGAGTTTAAGGGATCTCAAATATTTAATATATATCTCTAGGGTGGGTCTGTTTTATCTAATCAGGAATTGGGAAATGTCAAAAAACAGTTTTAATTAACACACAACTTAACTTTCAATCATAAAGAATTATTTTAGCTTGATTTTTTGTTGTGCAAATTTAAAACAATTAAAAATAATGTAGTTGATGTTAGATATCAATGTAATCGGTAAACATTTACAAATTTGCGTATGTGGGTCAAACTAATATACACAGGCCTATTCCAAGTATTTACTGTTGAATGTGTCACAAGTCGATGAATCAGTTACTGAAAATATTGTAATTTATGCATTTTTGGAGGTTTCTTTGTAATATTACGGTTTTTGATATTAATTGAGATAATTATTTTATTGATGCAACGAATTGCAATTATCAACGTTTATTTTTACTACTACACAATGTTGCACTTAAAGCTGAAAAAATTACATGAAATGACGTTACAAACGATTTTTAAATAACGTAGAAAAAGTAGATATGAAATGATAACTAAGTTGTTGTTGGCCACGTGAATATAATACAATGATTAAATATTTAAAAATAATTCGAATTCTTAATTATCGCAGTAAGATAATTTTGTGTATTTAAGATACTTAATTTCCTGAATTCCTTAATCAAAACCGATTAAAAATCTTTGACTTTACAGTCATTATAACAAATTTCTAATTCCTTTTTTTAATGTACCATCCAAAGTTACCTGGTTTGTTGTTCGTCTGAGTCGCTAGAGTATCGCCGAGTAGAAATAATATACCAAATAATAATACAGAAGTCAAGAATAAGAATAATAAAAGCCAAGAGGGTAATAGATACAAAGAAATAAAAAATAAAACAAATGCTTCTATACAAGAACATGAATTCTGGTGGTCAGAAAATGGTTAAGAAAACAATTTAAATTAACAGTATATCACATGAAATGTGATAGCACATATGAAAGACTTATATGACAGTCGAGACTTGCTTTAAAGCGACAAAACTTTTAGCCTAGCCACCATTAATGACCAAGAAGATAATGAAATAAACATGGAACAAGTCCAAAAAGTCATCGACAAATCCAAAAATTGAAAAGCACCTAGTATCTCGACGGCATAACCAGAGCCTATTAAGTATGGAGGTTTAGAAAAATCAAAAAGAATTAACTAAACTTTACAACAAAGTTATTAATAAAGGAATAATATCGTCAGAATGACACAATAGTATCAAAATCTCTAGTTTTATATTCAAAAAGGGATCAATGAAGGATAAAATCAGTTGCAATATAATCACAAGCGAGGCACAACAAGACTTCCGACGGCATAGATCAACATTATTGCGATATTAAGGGGCTTCGACCGCGCGTATAATATAGAAAAAACAGTAGTTCTTACTTTTGATCTTGTTTCTTTAATAATGGATTTAGTTTCATTCTTTCGGCAGCTGATAGATAAAAGTACAATGATTCGTCCCACAGAGCCCGTTTTTTTTTAATAAACCATTTCATTACCAAATATTTGCATCTCAATATAGACCTTTTTTTAAAATCGTCATCACAAACATCCAAAACTCGTAATGAAAATTTAATTTACTACACCAATTAATTGAAAAAGCCCATGAATTCGACAAACTTATTTCGTTAATTTGATACAAGTGTTTGATACGGGATGTCTTCTGGATGTAGTTAAAATGCTTAAGAAACGTAAGCTCGCCAATAGAATAGTGAGAATTATTTTTGAATTAAACAACTTAGGAATAGTAACTACAAACGAAATAACGTAACCAGTAGATATGACGAGGAGACGGGGAGATAGCCTAAGTCCAACACTATATAATATCATTTCTAAGGAACCAATTAGATGCAAGCTCGTAGTTAACAATAAAATAAACCAATAAACTATAAAGTTTAAGTAGCTAGGAGTAGAAACTTCTAGTGACAGAAATCTTATAAATGAAGTAAGAAGAGTAACCTATACCGGGTGTCCCTCAAAAGTGGCTCAACCCCCATATTTTTTTTTATTATTAGTGATATAAGAAAACCATTTGGAATGCATAGTTAGGTCGCTAAAACGGATTATTACGACATGAAATCATTCTTTTTGTACTTCCGGTTACACCGGATGTGAGTACTAATGTCGCTATTTTTTTAAATCTATAATTTTTTTTTCTTCAGTTGGGTAGACAGTATAATTTCACATAACTTTTACTTGAAAAGATTTTCACGATCGCTTATAATTTTTGAAAAAAAAAAATATTTTCGTTATTTTTTTACGTTTTAGTACCTTCGGAAAATGTATTACAACTTTTAACACATAGTAGCTAGGTTAATAGTACAAACTATGTTATGTCTCTCTCGATTTGCTATTCCTCGAGCAGTGATCACTGCTATGCTTTAGTTAGTGGTTCTTTTTAATAATGGTGTAAATTAACAGTTGTATTAAATTAGTTTTAAAAGAAAAACGCTATCCAACAATTAAATTTAATTCAATTGTAAGTTCAAAAAAACTAATTTTCTAAATTTTCAAAATGCTCCCGCCTCGATTTTGACATAATTGTATCTTGCGTATTGTCGATCTAACGACTCGACGTTATTCCTGCGGAGATATTTAGGTAATACAATTTCTAACTCGATTTATTTTCTAATACCTCACGAGACCTTACTGGTGTATTATACAGCTCATTTTTGATTTTGCCCCATAAAAAGAATCTAAAGGTGTGAGGTCAGGTGATCTGAGAGGTTTTAACCAAAATAAAGTAAACAATCCAAATTATAATGTACAATGGACATTGTAAGTTACTATCAGCTACAGAACATTTAGTGTAAAAGAACAAAAAATAAAGAAAAAAATAAAAAATCAAAAATAATTGAATTAAACTTAATTGTTTGATCGCGTTTTTCTTTTAAAACTAATTTAATACAACTGTTAATTTACACCATTATTAAAAAAGAACCACTGACTAAAGCATAGCAGTGATCACTGCTCGAGAAATAGCAAATCAAGAGGGACATAACGTAGTTTATACTATTAACCTAGCTACTATGCGTCAAAAGTTGTAATACATTTTCCGAAGGTACTAAAACGTTATAAAATAACGAAAATAATTTTTTTTTCAAAAATTATAAGCGATCGTGAAAATTTTTTCAAGTAAAAGTTATGTGAAATTATACTATCAACCCAACTGAAGAAAAAAAAATTATAGATTTAAAAAAATAGCGAAATTAGTACTCACATCCGGTATAACCGGAAGTACAAAAAGAATGATTTCATGTCGTAATAATCCGTTTTAGCGACCTAACTATGCATTCCAAATGGTTTTCTTATATCACCAATAATAAAGAGAAATATGGGGGTGAGCCACTTTTGAGGGACACCCGGTATATGGATATACATATAAAAGAGATTATATGGAGAAACAAATTATATCGCCAGAAAGCAAAGTCAAATATGTATATAAAACCTGTATAAGACCTATACTTACTTAAGCGTTCAAGAATAACAAGACGGATCAGTCTACGTCATCAGGTGAGGAGCGGTACTCTGCAGTGAAAAGATGAAAGCAGAGTTCAGGAAGTCTCTAGATAGATTGGATAAATAGACCATGCAGTAAAACAAGCCTCTGAAAAACCATTTAAAATATGGTATGAAAGATGAATTACAGTCCTATTAGAAAAGGAGGAAGAATAAAATTCCAGATTATTCAATCATGAAATTCAAACGGTTTTAGAGGCTGATAACTAGAACGTTGCAGCAATCGACATACTCTTATCTCCAAATAGTCCAGATAGTATTATTGCGCTATTACCACTTTAAAAGTAAATGTCTATAAAAAAAAATGCGATACTATGACGCCTGGCTTTACTGCATTTAAATCAATTCTTACTACTGTTATCTAATAATGATATGCGTTCGAGATTATTATTAAATTCCTTATTTATAATCTAGTAATGAGCTATTCCTATATTGTGATTGATATCACTGAGTGTAGCGACCCATTTTTGCGCATAACCTTATCATATTTTAGCATTTTCCATTAACTGCCCTTGTTTGCATTCTATCCAGATCTATTTCTTCAAATTCTAAAGTGACAATAATTTTAAATAAAGTTGAATTAAAATACAAAAAATATATTTACTCTCGTGAAAGTTTTCCCTCTTCTTATAACATAATTTTAGTCTTCTAATTAATTTCATTAATTATAGAGTATTATTTCTTTGTGGGGATGGTGATAAGGTTTGCATGCTTTTATTGCCCATATTTTAATCCAAACTATTTTTCTTTATATCCTACAAAACATCCAAAAAATAAACATTAGATGTATAAATGGTATTAAAATGATTCAAATATATAATTAAAATCTCTTTATTCGAATACATTTGTACAACAAAACAACAATTTATACTGACGGACTGGAAAGAACACCTTTCTCTGTTATAACTTGCATAATATATGAATAAATCTTCCAACTATCAATATATTTTTTAACGTTGCTTCTATGTCTCTGCAAATATCCGGTTTCAATTCAATTAATAACCAACGTCTTTGGCGAGTAAAGACTTTTGTCCTATAATTAACTCTTTCTTTTTTTTCCGGTTTATAATGATCGGTAATTATTTCATTAATTAATTTTCCTTTAATATTCTAAAAACGGCAGCTTTTTCTGCGTTGGCACTACGTTTCAATTGAATATCTATAAGTTTATTGATGGGGTGTGTAAATTACTATAAATTACGAATAAAAAATAATATATGAAATATAATCAATTTGAGTTATAATAAAAAAATTCTACATACACACTATTTATAAAATAATATAGAAATCTAAGTAATATAAAATTATATACGGTCCTTTAGGCCTTTTTAAAAAAAATAAAACCAAAGAAAAAGGCAGATCAAAATCCTTTTCATTTCGTTTGGCAGTTTTCACGTTTCTTCTTTTTTTTTTTCCTAATTTTACTTTTTCTTTCGCATATTGGGTATGTTATTATTACAGTTATTGGTTGGATATTGATGCGGTATATTTCCATTTGCAATTCTTTGCACTAATCGCGGTATAGAAGCTCTTTGGTCCTCCATCCTACCCGATTGAAACCGCATTATAAGGCTAAAGAAATCCTCATCCGGCACGGTAGCGCCACTTTTTGGAACTGCGTTCGCCGCTGGTGGATCGGACTCAGAATCAACTACTGGTGCAGCTGGAAGCGGTGATCTTTGATCTTCCAATCGAGAATCTTGACAACGAACTAATTGATCCAAAAATGAATCGTCGGGAATTGTATTTCTTGATGATTCTTGTAAACGATGAAGAGAACTTGGTTGTAAACCTACAAATATAATATTGTAATGATTAAATTTTATGATTTTTTTAATCACCTGGTAAATGAGGAAGCGCAACTCTTTGTTCGTCCATTCTTTTACTTTGCATCCCACAAATCATATCCATTAAATCATCTGGGCCATCATTTTTGGAAGGCAAATTAACGACGTTTGTGTTTTCTTTATTCTCTGAAACCGTTAGAGCGCAACGTTGATCATCCATTCGTTTCGATTGGAACCTAGAGAGCAAATCGAAGAAACTGTCCTCATCTTCATTTTTAGCGGGGGAAACTGCTATTTCGCTTTGAGATTTAGGTATTAGAGTTACTCCTTGCCTTTGTTTTCCATCTGGTGTTAACTAAAGATACATTTTTTTATGTTTTTATTTAAATGAGATTAGAATTAAATGAAAGTTAGGGTGATAAATGTTTAAATAAATGAAGAAGCCAAAAAAATTTAAAAAGAAGCAAACATATACAGTCACATTGGCCACTACCTTAATTAAATCAAGCTGTTCCATGCTTTCACGTCTCACCCTGTGTATCCTGCTGTTAACGAGACCATCAACTTTCGTTGTTGGTGGGGTTGTAACATTTTTGTTATCATCACCACTTTCAGGGCTATCAGGTAAATTTAAAACTTTTTTTAAATCAGCAATGTTCATTTTAGCCGTAGCTTCACCCATTGTATCCATCAACTGAAATAAATATTTTTCATTCATCTTTTTAATAATATAATTTTACGTTATCACAATGATAAGATGTTATCTTAAAAATAAACACTTTTTTAATTGGGAAATAATAGAGGAACTTGAATTAAAATATTAATTTTGCTTTTTATCAAATTAATTCCTACCTCTTTACTTATTTCGAGATGTTGATTAGCAAAATGTAAAGCTTTCTCGTGATTTCCAAGAGCAGCGTGAGCGTTTCCGAGGCTCCAACAAGCTCTACCTTCTCCAACGCGATCCATTAAATGTTGAGCGATCAAAAGATGCCGCAAATGATATTCGATGGCGGTTTCGTAGTCTCTTAATAAAGTGTAAGTGTTTCCCAAGCTGTAACAAGCTTGAGCTTCGACCGCGCGATCTTTTAATTCTTGAGCCAAAGAAAGAGTTTTCCTAACAAATTTTAATAATTAAAAAAGCATTTTGTGATTATAAATTAAAGATACGGACTTGTAATGATGAGCTGCTTCTTCAAATTGTCCCATAAATATATGCGAATTTCCCAAGTTGCTGTGAGCTCGTCGTTCGGCTGCTTTATCACCAAACTGACGAGCAATGGACAGACGTTCTTCGTGATACTTAATCGCTTGGGCGAAATCCCCCAAGAGATAGTAAGTGTTTCCTAAGTTCCCACAGGCTCTCCCTTGGGCTGCGACGTCACCCAAATCTTTCATAAGCATCAAGTTTTTTCTAAGCGGGAACAATAACATAAACTTACGAAAAACAAATAACATTCCAATCAAAAACTCGTGGCAAATTTAACACTTCAGTAGTCGCGCCTCCTGTTGCTACAAAAGTGGTCGCATGTCATCTCTTAGATGACTTTTCAATGCATGCAAAAATATTAAATGGAAGAGCGGTGCTTTTAATAAAACTAGTTTAAAAACTCATAAAACGTATTTATATTTTAATAACATTCATTATATTTAATAAATAACGACAAAAATGGGAACCATACAAGTTGCAGCAATTAGTCCAGGGAAACATCTCCGTCATCTCTTAGATGACACGCGACTATTGGAGTGTTAAGTTTGCTTACTTTATATTAAAGGAAATGAGTAGCTTAGGATCAAAAGCGGTAAAATCCACAATTTGTCATTTCCGGTTTTATTTTATTTTGCAACTCTAGATGGCTATCTGCATGTTTCCCATGGAAATTATTGCTTAAATTTTGATCTGATTGTGAGTTGCAAAATCGGCCAAATCCACCGCGCATACGTTAAAGCATTTATGATTATAAGTTCGGCAGTGTTGGTTGATGATACCTTCTTAAGTAATATTTTAAGCGGCCCATACACGATGACTCCTGCGGCGGTGCCGCCAGAGCCGCCGCAAGAGTCGTTGCATGCGCCGGATTTTAACGGCCTACACACGTAGACTTTTGTGGCGTCGTGCCGCACTTCTTTAACCGCTATCGACGGACCTATACCAATGCATATCTGGCCAGACAATAGCCAAGAAATTGGTTGCAGAATACCAATACTACTTGCAGAAGACTAAATACTTCCTATAGAGGACAAATACTACCTATACAATACTAGAAACTGTTTAAAAAGATAGATATCGTCTATAGAAACCTAAGTACTGCTACCAATAGACTACAAATTGGTTGCAGAATACCAATACTACTTGTAGAAGACTAAATACTGCCAGCAAAAGGCTAAAAACTTCTTGCGGAAGACAAATACTACCTATACAATACTAGAAACTGTTTGCAGAAGATAGATATTGTTTATGGAACGCTAGGTACTGCTACCAATATCCAAGGAATTGGTTCCAGAATACTAATACTGCTTGCAGAAGACTAAATACTTCCTATAGACGATCAAAAATTTCTTGCGGAAGACAAATACTACCTATGCAATACTAGAAACTGCTTAAAAAGATAGATATCGTCTATAGAAACCTAAGTACTGCTACCAATAGACTACAAATTGGTTGCAGAATACCAATACTACTTGTAGAAGACTAAATACTGCCAGCAAAAGGCTAAAAACTTCTTGCGGAAGACAAATACTACCTATACAATACTAGAAACTGTTTGCAGAAGATAGATATTGTTTATGGAACGCTAGGTACTGCTACCAATATCCAAGGAATTGGTTCCAGAATACTAATACTGCTTGCAGAAGACTAAATACTTCCTATAGACGATCAAAAATTTCTTGCGGAAGACAAATACTACCTATGCAATACTAGAAACTGCTTAAAAAGATAGATATCGTCTATAGAAACCTAAGTACTGCTACCAATAGACTACAAATTGGTTGCAGAATACCAATACTACTTGTAGAAGACTAAATACTGCCAGCAAAAGGCTAAAAACTTCTTGCGGAAGACAAATACTACCTATACAATACTAGAAACTGTTTGCAGAAGATAGATATTGTTTATGGAACGCTAGGTACTGCTACCAATATCCAAGGAATTGGTTCCAGAATACTAATACTGCTTGCAGAAGACTAAATACTTCCTATAGACGATCAAAAATTTCTTGCGGAAGACAAATACTACCTATGCAATACTAGAAACTGCTTAAAAAGATAGATATCGTCTATAGAAACCTAAGTACTGCTACCAATAGACTACAAATTGGTTGCAGAATACCAATACTACTTGTAGAAGACTAAATACTGCCAGCAAAAGGCTAAAAACTTCTTGCGGAAGACAAATACTACCTATACAATACTAGAAACTGTTTGCAGAAGATAGATATTGTTTATGGAAGGCTAGGTACTGCTACCAATAGCCAAGGAATTGGTTCCAGAATACTAATACTGCTTGCAGAAGACTAAATACTTCCTATAGACGATCAAAAATTCCTTGCGGAAGACAAATACTACCTATGCAATACTAGAAACTGCTTAAAAAGATAGATATTGTTTATACAAGGCTAGGTACTGCTATCAATAGACTACAAATTGGTTCCAGAATACTAATACTGCTTGTAGAAAATTAAATATTGCTGGCAGAAAGCTAAATACTGCCAGACAATTTTACAAGCTCATTTATGGCGGTAGTTTTTCAGTTTCTGTTGATGTACTTTTTTGATTTTGAGTCCCATAAACATGGGTACATTTTATATAGGTTTATAAATTTTTTCCAAAAATCTTTTTCGGCGAACGATGCCATTTCGTTGGTCGCCGTCGCCGCTGGCGATGCCGTCGCATGAGTCCTGGCGCTTCCCTACACACGATGCTTCATGCGGCTCGACTCTTGGCGACGCTGCAAGAGTCGTCATGTATGGGCCGCTTTATAAAAGCGCTGAATGTTTGTTCATTGCGGTTATTACATTGTGTAATATGGAAATTAACATTAAAGAAGAAACTGATAAACCACGGAAACGCCAAATACGATCAGCATCGTGGAAAAGAACCGTAATGAGGTTTGTAAAAGCGGTAACTTTTAGGGAGTATGTGCTCAAATATTTATTTAGAGATATATTCAGCAGCTACTCCTCCGCAGATGCCTACATATTTGGGCATAATACAAAGCATACCCTTCAGATGCTCAACAATCAAGAAAAAAAATTATTTTGGATTTTGAAAAATTAAAACAAGATTCTTTTATACTATAACATATTGAGGTGAATTTAACCAGACGAAGAAGACTACAAAACTAACATGTAAAACATGTCTGCCATCCAACATTTCTTAATGTTCTGGGCATTACTAAACACAGGGTAGAAGGAGTGGCACGACGTTACTTCCTTGAGGATAAGATTCCACAAGAAAGGAGGCGCGATGATAGAAAGACTGCTAAGTTTACTTGACAATGCGCTGCTATAAAAACATTTATTAAGCAATTCAAATGCACAGTATTCACATATCAGTAGTGATCTCTCCATTTCAAAAATGTGGAAATGGTGATTGTGTGAAAAGAAGGTTCAAAATCCCGTCTTTAGTGCTAAGCAATGCTATTTCAGTAAGGTTTTTGTAACTTTTTTTAATATTGGGTTTGGAACACAACAAACGGACATGTGTTGAAAATGTCTTGAATTAGAAGTAAAAAATAAAGAAAGAAACCGACAAAACTAAAAAGACTGCATTTTTAACGGAAAAATGGATCCATAAACTTCGTGCGCAGGCTTTTTTTAGCCTGTTGAAGAAAAACAAAAAGACGAATTATTCACTATAAGCTTTGACTATCAAAAAAATTTCTGTATTCCAAGACTTCCTGGTCAGACGACATACTACAGCCGGCAGTTTTATTTATATAACTTTTCTATTGTCCAAGGTAGTTCCAAGAATCTTTTAAAGGGAACACTTTTTTATATACCTGGGGAGAACATGAGTTACCAAAAGGATCTAATGAAATAGAGTCTTGTGTTTATCACAGACTCCAACATATCGATTTTTTTAATTAAGGAATTTCGCTACTATGATGCGTTGCAGATGGCTGTGGAGGCCAAAACAAAAATTGGATTCTTATGTTAATGCTTGAAAAATGGCTCCAACACGAGACGTCTTCAACTTTAAAAAAAATAGAATGCATATTCCGCCCAATAGAGTGTTTGCAGGGATAGAAAAAGTCATCACAAAGAAGGAGATACTTTCTGAACCAGAGGAATTTTGCAAAACTATGGTATTTCACTTAGGAAGTGAATATAACAAAACACCACACAGTTGTTACTTTCTGTCAAAGCAACATCCTATTGAAAGCTTAATAAAAATATAACCCAATTAATATTGTAAAATGTTGTTAAACAGTGTCAACCATATTTCGCTATATTTTAGGAGCTTGTTAGGTATGTTATCTGATCCTGCTGTTTTGCTTTCATTGCTATTTCTGTCTGGCAGTGTATCTCCTTTTACTTTTCAATATTCTCGCCTTCTTATCTTTGCAAGATGGCTAAGGAGACGAAGTGGGAATCATTGGTAAGAACAGAAAAGGTGCAAAACAGGATAAATGAAACATATGGAACACATACAGATTTCAAAAATGAATAAATTAATTAAAAAGATAACTTACTCATAAAATGTAACTGCTTGATTTAAACAACTTTTAACTTCCTCAGAAAATTCTCCAGCATCCTTATGTCCAACTCTCCCGACATGCTTTCCTTTCGAATGATGAACATTTCCTAAATTATAAAGTGCCCTTCCCTCACTTAATTTATCGTCAAGTTCTCTTGATAATTCTAATTGGCGTTTACAGCAAACAACAGCCTCGTCAAACCTTCCCATAACTTTCAAAGTGTTTCCTAAGTTACCAGAAGCTTTGGCTTCACCTAATTTATCACCCATTGTTCTTTAAAATAACAATCAAAGTCATTAAATAAGTAGGTATAATTAAGGATGTAACAATTAAATTTTAATCATTAAACAAACCTAGCAAGTGTGAGATCATGTTTATGGTACTGCATAGCTTTGCCATAATCTCCCAAATAGAAATACGCGTTCCCCAATTGGCTGTAAATTGCGCTTAACGTCCGAAGATCATCTGTACCGGCTTGGATGGCCGCTTGGAAAAAAGCGACCCCAGCTCTACAATCACCAGCTTTGCACAATCTTTCGCCTTCAAGAGCGAGCTCCAAACACATATTACTGGATCCATCGTACCCCTATTCACATTAACAGGATATAAGTAATTACGTAAAATATAAACAAATAGAGTAACATGTTTACCTGCGGTTCGGTGGCTAAATTCTCCGCACTCGCACTCAAAGACATTTTAAAAACGATCGGTACACCATTCAATACACTTTACAAATAAATTTAATACTTTTACCAAGTCCTAAATGGTTGAATATACATTTTAAATGTTAATTGATAGCGTCATAACAATACTGGGAACGGACCAAACCCATCACTCGGTTAAGGAAACGAATTTAGGGATTTTTGTTGTTTAAAAGTTTTATTTTATTTTAATAATTTATACATTTATTTATTTATTTTTGAATGTTTTTTTTTCTTTATTCGTGAATAATGAAGTAAATTTTAGATTAATAAGATAATTTAATTTTTATTAATTTATTTAAAAAAAAATTTTAGTGATTTTTGAAGTGCCAACAACAAGAAATTAATACACTTGTCAAAAATAACATTTAAATTTATTAATCACAAAGAACATTGCCTTTTTTTTTGTTTATTCATAAATAATAAAGTAAATTTTAAAATAATTAGATGTATTTTAATTTTCATTAATTTATTTAAAAAAAAATTAATTTGTTGATATACCAACATAAAAAAATTAACTTGTCAAAATAACATTTAAATTTAATCATCTCTCCAAGTTACATCAACATCATCAGTTCTAAACCTTTGGGTAATTGTACAATCTTCCCATTTCATTCTAGTACCACTTTTAAACATTTCAGCTCCAGCATGGGCAATCATAATTCCATTATCAATACAAAAACGTTCATCTGTTGCGAACAATTTGGATCCTCTCTCAATACACATTTGATTCATCATTTCCTGTAATCGTTCATTGCATCCAACACCGCCAACAATTAAGACTTCACTAGAACCACAATGAGCCATCGCTCTTTCTGTGGTTTCAACTAACATAGCAAAAACGGTTTCTTGTAGCGAATAACATAAATCTGCTTCAGAGTAACCTTGTTTTAAAAGAAAATCGATTTTTTCTTCTATGTAAGTTAAAATTCCTGAAAAACTGACGTCCATGCCTTTTACACAATAAGGTAAGTGAGCGTATTTTTCGCCCTTCTTAGCTAATTGTTCGATGTTATAACCCGGACTTGGATCATTTGAAAGCTTTATAACCCTTGCGAAACGATCCAAACAATTTCCAACTGCTATATCAATGGTTTCACCAAATATCCTATATTTTTTACGCGAATATGCTATAATTTGGGTATTTCCACCACTTACATATAAAACTGTTGGATTTTTAGCACCTGTTATTAAACGACCCATTTCAATATCTTTAAAAAGAGTTAAGAAACATAAAAATAATTTTTGTTACTTTTTGCTGCATTAAGGATACGTCCAATACAATGATTTACACCTAAAAGTGGTTTCTTCCATAATAAAGATACCGTTCGAGCTACTATTGCAACGGTATTTAAAGGAGCTCCCATTCCAGGTCCTTTTGTGTAACATACCACATCAATATCTTCGACTTTTACTCCTGATTTATCGATGGCTTCTTTTAAGACTTCCAAAACGTTCTCGCGATGATGAATCGCCGTTTCTTTAGGTAGAAAACCTTGCCCCGGTGGGGTAATATAAGTTCTTCGAATGTTCGATAAAACTTCATCGTTTCTAATTATTCCTATACCTAATTTATTTGCACTACCTTCAAAACCTATAGCAATAACCATTTTTAATAATAATAATAATATGTATTAATTTAATTTTTTCGTGTTTTGAGGTTATGTTAATGACATTACAGATTTCTGTAATTTTTTAACTTTTATTTAAAATTTCTTTTTCATAAATTTAATATTGTTATTAAGCATTTCACGATTAAATAAAAACGAAATTTTAGTTGAAACACAATAAATTTTAATACCAAAAAATAATTGTTATAAAGATAAATAATAATAAATGCACCAAAACTGACAAAAAAATCAATTATTTCACATTCTTCTTGATTAAGAAGTAACCATACACCCTAATATACTTAAATACACTCAATAACGTATTAATAATAAATGAAAATGAATTATTATTACCTACATTATATATTCACATATTAATTAAATTAATAATATTCATAATAAGCGCCATTAACACCATTAAGTTTAAATAAATAATGGTTTTAAACGCTAATATTAACTAAATCATATTCGGGAATACCAGCTCGGTGAGATTGAACGAATTTAATGTGGGTTTCTGTATCAATGAATGTCTTTTTAACAGCGGTGTCTTCGTTCATCCTATTTTTCCACTCCATCTAAAAAAAATTATAATTATATAATATATCTAAATTAAACAGAAAGAATTAATTACCAATTTTTTGTACTTATTTTTATTTAACACTCCACTTCTGAAATATGAACTGAACAGTTTTAATAGTTCAGCTCGTTCACACCATGGCCAAATCATATAGTCTAACATTCCCGGGTGCATGCCACCATAAAACGGTCCTTGGCGGTTATTTAATTCTTTTTCGAAAGTTTCTAAACCATCAGAGATTACACTTTCATTATCATCATTAGTTGTGGTTAACATTAACATGTTATACATGGTATTCACAACCTTAAATTAATAATTAAAATAAAAATTAAGTGTTTACTTAAAAAAAGTTGTCTTTACTTTGCTAAATTGTTCGATTAAGATTTTATCCTTGGCTTTCTTTAATGGATCTTTATGATGTAATGGATGTTGAATGTACTTTTCGTCGAGATAATCCACAATTATTAGACTCTCATAGAGGACGTCTCCGTTTTCAAGTTCTAAAGCGGGTAGTTTTCCTAAAGGGCTTATTTGATAAAACCAATCGGGTTTATTGTGCATGTTTACGTAAATTACGTCATATCTGAAAATATAAAAGAAAAAAATTTAAATATATTTTGTGGAAATCGTAAAGATTTGTATATTATTACTTCTGGAGTTTCTGTTCTCCTGATAACTTTAAAGAATTTATATGCAAGTTGCTTGTAATGATTGAGAGGGGAGAAGTTTTAAAAACCGAGTGCGAAACGTTCTCATAGCGGAATAGTTAACACTCCGAACTTTGAATCTAGATATTCGAGTTCATTCGAGTTCAAATCTCGTAGGGATATTAAAACTTTTTTTATTTCTTTATTATTATAAGCAAAAAACAAGGGATTTAAAGTCATGTCAGTTAATAATAAAATTTCAAAAAAATTTCAGGCTTCTAAAAATGTCAACAAAAATCAGATACAAAATGGGTCTCAACACATTATCCAACTCTAATCAGCATCAATACCGTGGATTTAGATAAGGTAAGATTTTAGATATTAGTAAAAATGAACGGGAAGAAAGGATCTTAGTTTATATAATGGGCCTTCATCCTACATTCTGTCAAAAGCAATATCTACTTAGAAAAACGGCAGAGCACATATCTTCGTATTCGAGTGTTTTGATGCACCCAGACAGCTCAATACACCTTTTCAGAGTCTGGATTTAAATCCGATGTTTGAAAGCTTTTGATGCGTAAGATTCGGCAGTGTACAATAAGAAACGCCAAAACGTTGCAATTGGCGGTAGCGAAATGAAACAACATCAGAAGAGATAACAAACTTAGTTGCTTTAATGCCACGACGTTTAAACCACGCTGTATCAAAACTTTTGTGTTATTTGATGAATTTTTGTTATGTAGCTATTGAAGCTTGAATTATTTATACTTTTATTATGGTACAAAACTACATAATTTAATGCTATTTAAAATTTGATGACACGATACAAATTAGCAGTAGCCATGAGTAACTATGGTAACCAATTATTGTAAACAATTTCCTAAGTAAGTAGTTGGCCTCTTTAATGCAACATATTCTGCTTGCCAACTCATTAGCCAAAGTATGGTAATCTTAGCTGGAACTTAATTTAAATAACTTGCGCATCTACGAGATTTCTCGACGTCTGGCCGAGCAAATATTTCAGGGGAGGTTCATCATAACGTGGTTTTGATTAGGCAAGAAAACTCTCATATTACTGTAAGGGGTATTAGATGGAATTTGCATTGAAGTAAATCGACGGTTCACAAAATTTCAAAACCCGCAAAATATCATTCCTATATCCTCATTCATGAGCAATGAGTCGTAGTTTTTGCAACAACAATTTTGTAATGATGACGAAGACTATGTCAAAAACATATTTTTTTCCGAAGATTTACATAGAGTGGACAAGTAAATAGATAAAATTGTCGGTGTTGAGATACCCAAAATCCACATTAGGCAAGATATCCGCAAAAGATCATTTGTGCAGCGAAATAGTATGGGATACTGTCCTGTTTCCTTACTGTTTTGAGGAAACCTTATCTGGAGAAAGATGTTTAGATTTTTTCAAAACGATATCATAACGTTGACCCAACTCAATTCCAACTGGAGTTATTCCAACAAGATGGCGCACCACCACACTTCAACAAGCTTTACTAAACCACTTTTTGACACTTAAGAAATTGTTTATACCTTTCTGTCCCGACGGTACTTAGTTTTAAATTTTCATTTTAAACTGTAGTCATCTATTCGGCGCATTTAGAGCCGTCGATACTTTCTGCTATACAAGAAAGGGCCTGTATAAAAAATAACGCAATCCGCACTGTAGGGTTTTTAGGTATATTTAAATTTATTCATTCACATGTGAGGTTAGAAGTTTAGTGAAAAGTGGTGTTGCTGAATTTTGTTGTTCAAAAAGGTATCTTTTGGTAAATGTAAATATCTTGATAAATGGTTATTAGGTGTGATTTGTAAGCAGTTTCGTGTATTGTTTACATATTGTAATTACAATTTTCCACGAAAATGTCTTAAGCGCACATTCACCAGTCCAGTTTCCTAAAAGACAAAAGTGCGGCTATTTTGTTAGTCATGACGTAAGACTTGGGAACCGTGGTTCGCACTGGATAACTTTCGGAAAAGAAAGAGGAATGTGTGAAAATTGTACTGCAAAAGCTATTGATATGAAAGTAAAAAACGCAAGGAAATTCTTGGCTTAAACGATGTATTTTTTATATATAAATTCGGTGCGACACGTGTTTCGTCTTTTACGACATCAACAGGCACGACTACAAAATAAATCACAAGAAAAGAGACTGTTAGAGGTTATAATATTAAAGTTAATTTAAAAAACTAATTAATATTTGTTAATATTTACCGTCAGCGGTTCAGGATGTTACAAGAAGTGAGATACAAATTTCAAAAAGCATTACNTGGATTTAGATAAGGTAAGATTTTAGATATTAGTAAAAATGAACGGGAAGAAAGGATCTTAGTTTATAAAGTGGGCCTTCAGCCTACATTCTGTCAAAAGCAATATCTACTTAGAAAAACGGCAGAGCACATATCTTCGTTTTCGAGTGTTTTGATGCACCCAGACAGCTCAATACACCTTTTCAGAGCCTGGATTTAAATCCGATTGAACATGTTTGAAAGCTTTTGATGCGTAAGATTCGACAGTGTAAAATAAGAAATGCCAAAACGTTGAAATTGGCGGTAGTTTTGAAATGAAACAACAGCAGAAGAGATAACAAACTTAATTGCTTTAATGCCACGACGTTTAAACCATCCTATATCAAAACGTTTGTAATGTTAACTTTTGTGATTGAAGCTTGAATTATTTGTACTCTTATTATGGTACAAAACTACATAATTTAATGCTATTTAAAATTTGTTGACACGATAACAATTAGCAGTAGCCATGAGTAACTATGGTAACCAATTATTGTAAACAATTTTCTAAGTAAGTAGTTGACCTCTTTAATGCAACATATTCTGCTTGCCAACTCATTAACCAAAGTATGGTAAGCTTAGCTGTAACTAAATTTAAATAGCTTGGGCATCTACGAGATTTCTCGACGTCTGGCCGAGCAAATATTTCAGGGGAGGTTCATCATAACGTGGTTTTGATTGGGCAAGAAAACTCTCATATTACTGTAAGGGGTATTAGATGGAATTTGCATTGAAGTAAATCGACGGTTCACAAAATTTCAAAAACCGCAAAATATCATTCCTATATCCTCATTCATGAGCAATGCAATGAGTCGTAGTTTTTGTAACAACAATTTTGTAATGATGACGAAGACTATGTCAAAAACATAATTTTTTCCGAAGATTTACATAAAGTGGACAAGCAAATAGATAAAATTGTCGGTTTTGAGCTACCCAAAATCCACATTAGGCAAGATATCCGCAAAAGATCATTTGTGCAGCGAAATAGTATGGGATACTGTCCTGGGTCCTTACTGTTTTGAGGAAACCTTAACTGGAGAAATATGTTTAGATTTTTTTAAAACGATATCATAACGTTGATCCAACTCAATTCCAACTGGAGTTATTCCAACAAGATGGCGCACCACCACACTTAAACAAGCTTTACTAAATCACTTTTTGACACTTAAGAAATTGTTTATATCTTTCTGTCCCGACGGTACTTTAAAGTACCGGTAGTTTTAAATTTTCATTTTAAACTGTAGTCATCTATTCGGCGCATTTAGAGCCGTCGATACTTTCTGCTATACAAGAAAGGAGCTGTATAAAAAATGACGCAATCCGCACTGTAGGGTTTTTAGGTATATTTAAATTTATTCATTCATATGTGCGGTTAGAAGTTTAGTGAAATGTGGTGTTGCTGAATTTTGTTGTTCAAAAAGGTATCTCTTTGATAAATGATTAATAGGTGTGATTTGTAAGCAGTTTCGTGTATTGTTTACATATTGTAATTACAATTTTCCACGAAAATGTCTTAGCGCACATTCACCAGTCTAGTTACCTAAAAGACAAAAGTACGTCTATTCTGTTACTCACGACGTAAGACTTGAGAACCGTGGTTCGCACTGGATAACTTTTGCAAAAGAAAGAGGAATGTGTGAAAATTGTTCTGCCAAAGCTATTCAGTCCAGACCCTGCTCAAAATGTACTGCTGATTATTTATGTTGTAATGAAAGAAAGAACTGTTTTTCTGAATATCATAATGTGATTTAGCTGAAGCAATGTGTTATTTTTATATTAGCAATAAAAGTTTTTGTATACTGCAATATCACTAAAACATATTTTAATACTTGACGTACTTTCACGTACCAAAGGCCTTTACTGAGTGTATTTTTTCAACATTTTTGACTTCTTGAGACACAAAGGGTTAAAATAATTGGTTACCATAGTACTTTGCTATTTTTGTCAAATTTGAAGTAGTTAAACTTTAAAATAACTTTTCTCGAAAATTTTCTTATGTAATCAGAAAAAAATCTTCTTTCATATTCTGTAATAAGAATGAGGGATTGTTATTTGAAAAAAATATCATTGACGTCATAATCTGTTTAATAAAAAAGGCGGAAGAAATTTAAAATCTACATCAAAAAATTTAAATCTTTTAGACCCGATTTTTCCATAAACCGTTTATACTGATTTTATCGCCTATATCCACTCTTTTACAGATACCTGTATGCAAGGTTCGTTGAGTATTAGTTATAAAGTTATCCAACAAACTGACGTTGACGGGGTGAGGTAGGAAACGTGACGTCATTGGAAGAAAAATATAATATAATATACATGTAATATTAATATAATAATAATATTTGTATTAATAATTATTTAAACACTAAACAAGTGTTATTAAACTCAAGAAATAAAGATTTAAAACTATAATTAACAGTAGATATAGAACTCTCTCTCAATACAGCTAAACCCGAAAGATTCTAGTTCTAGGTCTAGTGTTAGTTCTACTTTTATTTCAGTAAAAATAGACAACAATTTAGCGCTTAATAACAATCAAAACCAGAACAATTTAGCCGTCTTTAGAAACGTGCGGTTAAACCTAAATGATTCTAGTTCTAGGTATAGTGTTAGTTTCACACTTGCACTGTCACTAAAACTAACATTAAACCTAGAAACATTTCGGTTTAGCCGTACACCTCTTAAGACGACTAAACCCGAATGATTCTAGTACTTGGTCTAGCGCCACACAACAATTAAAACTAGAACTAACACAAGACCTAGAACTAGAATCATTCAGATTTAGCCCTCTTGATAGACATGCGGCTGTAGTGTAATAATAACAAATTGTTAAGTAGGTTAAGATAGTTAATAGTAAGCACTAAATGACGCGCGTTAGGTATTGTGTAGCGGCGGTCATCGCTCGGAAAGAGAGTACGCTCAAGGTACTGAAAGGTGACACGTCGTGTAACTTAAGTGTTGTCAATAAATGCATTAATTAAGAGAAGCTATTATGCGTTTATTCTAACCCGGAGATCCCATCATTTTACACCATCATCACCAACCATTACATGCCAGCGCACGAGCTTTAAGAATATTATAAGATTGAACATGGGAAAACATCATAGCAAAGAATCGAATACAAACCAAGAATTAACTGAAAATGGTGCAGTTAATGCAAACTTCGTGGTGCAAGAAAATAAAATTAAGATGCATGATGATGTTACTGTAATATTCTATATAATGTTCATTATGATGGTGATTACTTTCGTGTTACGCCTGGTGAAAGCTTATACACACCATGTAAAAAGAAGAACCTTAAGAAGAGCCGCATCCAGAGCTGAAGTCTAACGCTCTTCGCATCCCCACGTCCCTATTCAAGTATCATCGAGGAGTGAAGAAAAGTTGTGTAGTGGAAGACAAAGTGCAATAAAATTAATTAAAGGTGATGAGTGAAAGTTATCCGTATAAATATAAACCAGAATGATTCTAGTTCTAGGTCTAGTGTTAGTTCTAGTTTTGTACTAGCACTGTTACTATGTAGAACTAACACTATACCTAGAGCTAGAATCATTTGGGTTTAGCCGCACGTCTCTAAAGACGGCTAAACCCGAATGATTCTAGTTCTAGGTCTAGTGTTAGTTCTAGTTTTGCACTAGCACTGTTACTATGTAGAACTAACACTATACCTAGAGCTAGAATCATTTGGGTTTAGCCGCACGTCTCTAAAGACGGCTAAACCCGAATGATTCCAGTTCTAAGTCTAGTGTTAGTTCTAATTTTGCACTAGCACTGTTACTATGTAGAACTAACACTATACCTAGAGCTAGAATCATTTGGATTTAGCCGCACGTCTCTAAAGACGGCTAAACCCGAATGATTCTAGTTCTAGGTCTAGTGTTGGTTCTAGTTTTACATTAGCACTAACCAACACTGCGTTTCTCGTATTGATTCGTTACATCGAGGTTTTATTGTAATGTCAAATTGGTATTGACATGGACAAAGTAAGTAGGTACGCTCTGGTTTCTATGAAAATATATTTTTGTGTATTGCTTCTTAAGTGAAATACACTGTATAAATAAAAACATTGAAATGTCAATTCTTCCAATGACGTCACAGCAAGGCCTTTGCGGGGGCATACGTTCTTAACAACAGCGTTTATAAAGAGAATGTTCAGAATGTTTACTCAACGGACCTTGAGCTGTATGTTAAAATTATATTAGTTGTTTACCACGAGATAAGCAATTTTTTGACAGCTGGTCCCATGGTGTAATGGTTAGCACTCTGGACTCTGAATCCAGCGATCCGAGTTCAAATCTCGGTGGGACCTTAACTTTAAAAATTACATTTTTATCTTTTTTTTTTCTTGCTTGCTATAAAAATATCTTTATAAAATAGAAATTTATAAATTATTATTTTAATATAATTAATTTATTTATAAAACAAAAAAAAATTTTTTGCCGAAACCCGGGATTGAACCGGGGACCTTTAGATCTTCAGTCTAACGCTCTCCCAACTGAGCTATTTCGGCAGATACAATCATTTCACGGCACAACTATGACAATACAACAAAAAGTAATAAAAACTTACTGTAATTTTTTTGCATCCAATACCAACTGAACTCGTTGACAATAAGGACAAAATCTATTCGTAAATAATCGCAATTTTCCTTTATTACCCATTGGCATTCGCGATCCTAACAAAACAAAATATATAAATAATTATTCATCATACTAAAATATATAAACAGTTTGTGCAATTGCATCCTATCTATTTTTGGATTGTTTATTAGCTTAGCATGAACGTGTACTAGAAAATTTACATAAAAGGATATAATAAAAACAAACAGTTATTAATTATAATAATTATTGACGTAACATTTATGCTTTTATTATGTTAAGTGATTGAAATTAGGTCATCATAATTCAAAGTCGTTTATTTAAAGGCCATCGACTTTTATTTAAACGAACCCAAGAATACAAAAATACACGTGAGACAATCGCACAGAAATAAACATGACAATAACAACCGTAAGTTTTATAATGTAAGGATTATTTAGACTACAACGTGGTCTTCTAACCTAAATTCCAGATCGATTATTTTAATCCTCCACCCAAAACTCAACGCAAAAACGATTACACATTTTTGTGACGTAATATTTATCGACTTTTTTTCTATTTTTAGCTATAGGTTGCATTTAACACGCCTACTTTAACACTATAGCAATAAACTCATCGGGGCGTAAAAAAAAATTATAAAAATATCGAAAAGTTACCTTTGGACAAATGTTTCGTTGACATTATTACATCAATTTCTTAGATTAACTTTTAATGAGAAATGATCGGATTAAGAAAGTTATTTCTAAGTTTTTTATGAATGAACGTCTGAACCACTCGAATGAATTTCAAAAACTGACAGTCAGCTGTTGTTGACAAACCACTTGATAGTATTTTATTTACTATTTCGTGGCGACATCTTATAGCGAATAGCTTAAATTCATTAAAATTCGTTGTAATAGTAGTCTAGTACCAAACATATACGTGGCCCTGTGGCGCAACGGATAACGCGTCTGACTACGGATCAGAAGATTCCAGGTTCGAATCCTGGCAGGGTCGGTTTATTTTTTTCATTTTTTTAATTAATTTCAAAATTTATTATAATTTTTGAACACATTAATTAAATTCAATGGTCTAAATACAATTAATAAAGACTTTTATATTAATTTTTTTCAACTGAAGTCTCCGCAGTTGTAGAAGGGCATAACGAACTTAATGACCGCATTGGCAATTAAAACTCGAATAATTAGGGCCTCATTTGCATCGAGGGGCCGCGCACCCTCATCGTTAATTATGACGCAATCTCGCCTCTCCTTTTGTTTCTTTTTTTTGTACTTTTCTATCGCTCTTAAGAACCACCCCAATGCGTGGCAAATCATTATTATTGTTCGGAACCCCGTTTTTATACTTCTCTAATACGTCTGTCTGATTTCCATGTTTATTTTCGAAGATCGTTCTGTGGAAAATTCAATTTTATAACTTTTGAACGAACGTAATCTAATCGTGACCGTAGGTCAAGCTTGGTCAACCCTGAAAGAGTCAATATTTCCAATAAGTCAATATTTAATGTCAACAAGAAGAGAATTTCTAAAAGTTGGGGAGACGGATTTTAAAGGGAACTTGAAATGAAAGAATTTTTTTTCTAAATCCATTTTTTGGAACAAAAGTCTTTGTAGTACTCGTCACCAATCATTATCGGAGTTCTGAAAGGGAAGGATGGATGCGCGTCAAAGAAGCCTAGAGGTAGTTCGATTGCATTTCCGGCCATTTCGGAACAGTTCCGGTGCAGGATTGGCGAAACCGGGCATTGATCTAGCTACGATGAGCCAATGAGGGTGCGCAGGTGCCGTGGCAACCCCGATCATACCTCGCAATTAGGCGTCGCACTGATGACGACGTCGTGGAAACCTAGATTTTCCATAAAAAAGTATACAATTTAAAAACTTGTTCCATAAACTTCATGAAATTCAACAATAAATGTCCAAAAATATCTTTATTAACCATTAAATGGTTCTGCTTCCTCGACGTCCACACAAATATTAAATTTTTGCAATGCTATATTTGTACCGCAATATCAGTGATTTATACTACTTGAAACCAAGTATTATTTCAATGCCTACGTTCGCAGCATATCATAAATAATAATGGATATATCTTCATTAAATTTACTTTAGAATGTTTTTTATTTCATTATTGTATCTCAATTCGTTCTTGAGATACGATTTTTTAAATTTCTCTTTGTAAAATCTATAACAGTCAATTATGCAGAGTTGGGTTTAAAAAATCATAATATCGATGTTTATGGAAAATAAGAATTTATTTCTGACACACTAAATCTGTATTAAATATACTTTTAAAATTGGGTACTTTCATCATTATATCTCAATCCGTTCTTGAGATATGATTTTTTTAATTTCCGTCTGTAAATATATAACAATCAGTTATGCAGAGTTGAGTTTAAAAAATTATAACAACGATGTTTATGGAAAGTAAGAAATTATTTCATACGCACTAAATCTTTGTTAAGTTTACTTCAAAATGTTTTTTATTTCATCATTGTATCTCAATTCGTTCTTGAGATTCGATTTTTTAAATTTCTCTTTGTAAAATCTATAACAGTCAATTATGCAGAGTTGGGTTTAAAAAATCATAACAACGATATTTATGGAAAATAAGAATTTATTTCTGACACACTAAATCTGTATTAAATATGCTTTTAAAATTGGGTACTTTCATCATTATATCTCAATCTCTTCTTGAGATATAAATTTTTTGATTCCATTTGTAAATATATAACAATCAGTTATGCAGAGTCGAGTTTAAAAAATTATAACAACGATGTTTATGGAAAATAAGAAATTATTTCATACGCACTAAATCTTTGTTAAGTTTACTTCAAAACGTTTTTTATTTCATCATTGTATCTCAATTCGTTCTTGAGATACGATTTTTTAAATTTCTTTTTGTAAAATCTATAACAGTCAATTATGCAGAGTTGGGTTTAAAAAATCATAACAACGATGTTTATGGAAAATAAGAATTTATTTCTGACACACTAAATCTGTATTAAATATGCTTTTAAAATTGGGTACTTTCATCATTATATCTCAATCCGTTCTTGAGATATGATTTTTTTAATTTCCATTTGTAAATATATAACAATCAGTTATGCAGAGTTGAGTTTAAAAAATTATAATAACAATGATTATGGAAAATAAGAAGTTATTTCATACGCTCTAAATCTTTGTTAAGTTTACTTCAAAATGTTTTTTATTTCATCATTTATTTCATTTATGGAAAATAAGAATTTATTTCTGACACACTAAATCTGTATTAAATATGCTTTTAAAATTGGGTACTTTCATCATTATATCTCAATCCGTTCTTGAGATATGATTTTTTTAATTTCCATTTGTAAATATATAACAATCAGTTATGCAGAGTTGAGTTTAAAAAATTATAATAACAATGATTATGGAAAATAAGAAGTTATTTCATACGCTCTAAATCTTTGTTAAGTTTACTTCAAAATGTTTTTTATTTCATCATTTATTTCATTTATGGAAAATAAGAATTTATTTCTGACACACTAAATCTGTATTAAATATGCTTTTAAAATTGGGTACTTTCATCATTATATCTCAACCTCTTCTTGAGATATATTTTTTTTAATTTCCATTTGTAAATCTATAACAATCAGTTATGCAGAGTAGAGTTTAAAAAATTATAACAACGATGTTTATGGAAAATAAGAAATTATTTCATACGCACTAAATCTTTGTTAAGTTTATTTCAAAATGTTTTTTATTTCATCATTGTATCCTCAATTCGTTCTTGAGATACGATTTTTTTAATTTCTCTTTGTAAAATCTATAATAGTCAATTATGCAGAGTTGGGTTTAAAAAATTATAACAACAATGTTTATGGAAAATAAGAATTTATTTCTGACACACTAAATCTGTATTAAATATGCTTTTGAAATTGGGTACTTTCGTCATTATATCTCAATCCGTTCTTGAGATATGATTTTTTTAATTTCCGTTTGTAAATATATAACAATCCGTTATGCAGAGTTGAGTTTAAAAAATTATAATAACAGTGATTATGGAAAATAAGAAATTACTTCATACGCACTAAATCTTTGTTAAGTTTACTTCAAAATGTTTTTTTACTTCATCATTGTATCTCAATTCGTTCTTGAGATACGATTTTTTAAATTTCTCTTTGTAAAATCTATAACAAACAGTCAATTATGCAGAGTTGGGTTTAAAAAATCATAACAACGATGTTTATGGAAAATAAGAATTTATTTCTGACACACTAAATTTGTATTAAATATGTTTTTAAAATTGGATGGTTTCATCATTATATCTCAATCTCTTCTTGAGATATAATTTTTTTAATTCTATTTGTAAATCTATAACAATCAGTTATGCAGAGTAGAGTTTAAAAAATTATAATAACAATGATTATGGAAAATAAGAAATTATTTCATATGCACTAAATCTTTGTTAAGTTTACTTCAAAATGTTTTTTATTTCATCATTGTATCTCAATTCGTTCTTGAGATACGATTTTTTAAATTTCTCTTTGTAAAATCTATAACAGTCAATTATGCAGAGTTGGGTTTAAAAAATTATAACAACAATGTTTATGGAAAATAAGAATTTATTTCTGACACACTAAATCTGTATTAAATATGCTTTTGAAATTGGGTACTTTCGTCATTATATCTCAATCCGTTCTTGAGATATGATTTTTTTAATTTCCGTTTGTAAATATATAACAATCCGTTATGCAGAGTTGAGTTTAAAAAATTATAATAACAGTGATTATGGAAAATAAGAAATTACTTCATACGCACTAAATCTTTGTTAAGTTTACTTCAAAATGTTTTTTTACTTCATCATTGTATCTCAATTCGTTCTTGAGATACGATTTTTTAAATTTCTCTTTGTAAAATCTATAACAAACAGTCAATTATGCAGAGTTGGGTTTAAAAAATCATAACAACGATGTTTATGGAAAATAAGAATTTATTTCTGACACACTAAATTTGTATTAAATATGTTTTTAAAATTGGATGGTTTCATCATTATATCTCAATCTCTTCTTGAGATATAATTTTTTTAATTCTATTTGTAAATCTATAACAATCAGTTATGCAGAGTAGAGTTTAAAAAATTATAATAACAATGATTATGGAAAATAAGAAATTATTTCATATGCACTAAATCTTTGTTAAGTTTACTTCAAAATGTTTTTTATTTCATCATTGTATCTCAATTCGTTCTTGAGATACGATTTTTTAAATTTCTCTTTGTAAAATCTATAATAGTCAATTATGCAGAGTTGGGTTTAAAAAATCACAACAACGATGTTTATGGAAAATTAGAATTTATTTCTGACACACTAAATCTGTATTAAATATGCTTTTAAAATTGGGTACTTTCATCATTATATCTCAATCCGTTCTTGAGATATGATTTTTTTAATTTCCGTTTGTAAATATATAACAATCAGTTATGCAGAGTCGAGTTTAAAAAATTATAATAATAATGATTATGGAAAATAAGAAATTATTTCATACGCACTAAATCTTTGTTAAGTTTACTTCAAAATGTTTTTTATTTCATCATTGTATCTCAATTCGTTCTTGAGATACGATTTTTTAAATTTTTCTTTGTAAAATCTATAACAGTCAATTATGCAGAGTCGAGTTTAAAAAATCATAACTACGGTGTTTATGGAAAATAAGAATTTATATCTGACACACTAAATCTGTATTAAATATGCTTTTAAAATTGGGTGGTTTCATCATTATATCTCAATCTCTTCTTGAGATATAATTTTTTTAATTTCATTTGTAAATCTATAGCAAGCAATTGTGCAGAGTTGGGATTAAAAAATCATAACAACTATGTTTATGGAAAGTAAGAAATTATTTCCTGCAAATTAAATCTGTATTAAATATGCTTTTAAAATTGGATAAAGTCATCATTATATCTCAATCCGTTCTTGAGATATGTTTTGTTTTTAATTTCCGTTTATAAAACCATAACAATCAATTGTATAGAGTTGGGTGTAAAGCAAGATAACGACGATATCTATGTATAATAAAAATTTATTCCATGCACACTAAATTCTTATTAAATTTTCATCAAAATGTTGTTTATTCCATCATTATATCTCAATGCGTTCTTGAGATACGATTTTTTAAATTTCTATAAAAATTAATTGGGCAGCGTTGGGTTTAGATAGTTATATCAACGATGTTTATGGAAATTAAGAAATAATACTTGGCACACTAAAACTGTGTTAAATTTGCTTTAAAGTTTACGTTATCTCATCATTATATCTCAATTAGTTCTTGAGATACGATGTTTAAATTTCTCGATGCCAAATCTATAACAATCAAATGTATGCAAAATACCTAGCTATCTGGATCGTAAATTTTTTCACTTACAATGAGAAGCATTGAGATGTGATGCTTCTCAGTGATACCACTACATCCCATGCTTTAATGGTTTTTATGATTTACACATCTATCTCCTTGGTCTGCACAATATAGACATCCTCGATGGACACTATAACGAACTCTTTTGTGTCCGTAATAGCACATAATTTTGCACGGCATTATTTATATCACTAAGTAGTGAGGATGAGCGTTAGTGGAAGAAGACTTGCTGTGTGATGTAGTCTGCGTTTAAGTACTTGGCCTAGAGGTTTGTAGCTGTATTTTGCTACATATAAAGATAGTGTGAGATATTACACAAGTAGTGATATTCTTACTTTTTCATTTCAGCAACCAAGCACAAATCATTGTTTTAGTCGGGATTTATTAAAAACGCCGGAACATGTTTTATATCATCAGCGCTTATGAAACTGTTATCGGCATGATGTTATTCGTTTTAGAAATTCATTTTAATTTTTAAAGACTCTTTTCCATCATTTTAATCACTCTATTCAAGTCTTTCAGACTTGAAGATTCATATACAAAAACATTTAAATAACCCATTCTAATAATGTTATTGTAATTTTAAGACATTCTATATATTTAAATGATTTAACTCTTCGATAATGTATTAAAGGTGTTTAGATTGTTCAGAAATATCGTTTGGTCGATTAAAAAAAAAGAAAGAAATGAAGTTTCATTTTAGATTGATGGAAATGGGGGTAGTTGGGAATGAGGAGGTCATTATTCGGGACGATGGGGGTGTATAAAATGTGTATAGTTACGTTATTACGTCATTAGTTGGAGCGTGGCCGGCGACTGTCGTGAGTTTTTCGCTTGATTTCCTTTGAAAAGGTGGCCACTTCGACGTTTTACACCCCTCGCATATTCACGATATTCACATCCCCTCGCGAAGATTACGCGTGTAAATAAGAAAAGATAACCGAGTTTTAAACATAAAAGTTTTTTTATTATTTTATTTATACGTATCAATATTTTGTTTTGTTTGATTAGATTTAAAAATAAAACACAATCTTATAATAAATACATAACATTTATATTTCTGTATAGTCATTTCGAAATACAGAATTTCCGGTTTAGTTATTAGCAGTTCCGATTTTTTTTTTCATAATCGTCAAAAACGACACCCATGACTAGAAGTCTATGATATTTACCAACGTTATCTATCGCTAATACTCATCCTATTTTTTTTTTGTCAAATATACGTATATAAGCATACAACAAATAACTTATTATACCATTTTTTATACACTATCTTATTGATGTATACACAATGTTTTTCTTATACTTTATCCTTTATTTATTTTTATACATGTTATACGATTAAAGTAACGAAGATATTTAAAATAAATATATTACATATTGGAATTAAAATAAAATTTGGGGGAGAGTTTAAATTATTAGCTTTAATAATGTTTGTATTACTTTTCGGAATATTAATGTTTAAAAAATAAATTAAAAGGGAACATTAATGAATAGATTTTTATCACAGACGCCGCAACGCGGTATATGTGCTAGCCTAAGTTTTTTATACATATATATTTTTTTATGATTAACTAATTTTAGGAAAAAACAAAATTGCACATTAAAACTATATTCTTTTTTAAAGAGATTTTTAAAAATAAAAATTCCCTAGCCTTTCGCTTCTTATAAAAAATAACACAAAAATAAACTAGTCCACTTTTCAAATTCACTTTTGAGTTAGCTTTATTCTTTTCCACTTTCGGTGACAACGTAAAAACGCGCACAGTCTTCTTATTTACGTGAATTGTTCTTGATTAATCGATTTCATCGTCTTCATCTCGATGTCCGTTGATCTGGATGGGTTTGCTTCCTTGGATGTTGTTTTTTTATGTATTTTTAGAAATATTTAGAGGTGAATCCTCCTTGACCACTCGTTCGACGAGCTGTTCGTTCCCGCTGAAGTCGGTCATGCGTAATGCGGATACGAACTGAGAGGAGGCGCCCCCAAATGCGGCCCAGCGTGATGACTTATCGAATGTGTACTTGCCGCTATATTCGAATATAAATTCGCACTTGGATTACTCCAATATGATCCGGGTGATGGAAATATTGAAGCTAGAAAAATAAAACAAATAATAATAATGAGCATGTTATTAAACTTTTAATTTAAATTTTTAATTTCGAACTAATGCCATCTTTTGTTGGCTAGATATTTCAAATGACAATGTTTAAATTAACAATTTAATTTGATATGTATTGTATACAAAATAAGTAAATAAAAGCCTGTTTGGCTGTGAGTCTGAAGACCCGAAATTATCTAGGTTTAGTAGTACTTCTAGCTGTTATTCAACGTTAGGTTGTTGTATATTCTTGTTGAACTAAAAGTAGAACTAACACAAGACCTACAACATTAAACAACTAGAATCATTCAGGTTTAGTCGTCTTTAGAGACGTTTGGCTAAACCCAAATGATTCCAATTTTTGGGTATAGTGTTAGTTCTACATGATAACAGTACTAATATAAAACTAAAACTAACACTAGACCTAGAACTAGAATCATTCGGGTTTAGCCATCTTTAGAGATGTGTGGCTAAACCCAAATGATTCTAATTCTAGATATAGTGTTAGTTCTACATAGTGACAGTACAAGTGTAAAACTAGAACTAACACTACATCGCGATGCATTATCAATTTATAACCGACTAAACTGTTTAGTTGTTCATAAATCGTGTTGTATGCACACACATATCGATTTCGAAACAACTTGTATTTATATTGTATTAAATATTGAATAATACCTGGAAATAATTCAAGTTTTTAAAATAATGTAATTGAATTACTTTAATATACAGTGTGGTAATTAATTATCGTACCCGACGTCATCATTGAAAGTATGCAACCATTATCACAATATTGGTATTGCAATACACGATTTGCGTATGATGCGTATTGCACTGTGATATTGGTTGCATACTTGCAATGATGACGTCGGGTACGNCCGAAAACGTCAATTATAATTTGTAATGAAATATACTATTATTTAACGTAAAGTTTACTTAATATTTTCAAGTGTAGGCAATAAATTGTATGGGAATATTGGAATTGGAAGACTTTTTATGATTGGGAGAAATAAAATACTTAATTTTACTTTAATTTTAATTTTTTTTAAATTAATTTTACACGCTATAACTTTACGCGTCTGGCTTTTCTTTCCGCGAAAGAAACTATGATTGAATCAAAGTTTGTCTCACAAGCCGTTTTATTTTCGATAGGTAGGATTGCGAGACCAGATAGACGTTCTTGACTCATTGTTGAACGAAGATAGCTTTTAATTAATTTCAATTTGCTGAAACTTCGCTCACAGCTTGCAGATGTTGTCGGTAATGTGCAGTATATTCTTAAAGCTATACTAATATTGGGAAAAGCTTCCTGCAGATCATGTTTGTATATACCTTGCAACAGGTCGAATGCAGTTGTTTTTTCGTTTATACCGATTACAAGTGGAGCTTGCTTTTTAAAAACAGCGAGTTCTTGGCAAAAATCAAGTATGTTCAAGTCTCTAGAATATGTTCTAGCTAGAAGTTCTCCATGACTGAGTCGCGTTGAGAGTTCTTGACTCGTCGCCGCACTTTTCGTCGTGTTGCCGTTTCTTTATGGGAATTCGTTTGCTTTTAAGGATTGGCTCAATTCCACTTAGTCACTAACCACTTACACAAACAGCAAACCAGCTAGTTAATCCAACTACATAAATAAATGCAGGCGTTACGTTACCGTCGTTACTACACGTAATACACGTGACCAGCCGATATCTTAGCTTATTTTCCGCATGCAGCATAGATCAGATACGTCTGTGATTATGTTTTTAAGCGTAGAGTAATAAGAATTCAAAAAACATGTTACGACAAGATCTAAAATATTTATTTTGAACAATGCGTAATCGATATATGCACAACGCGCGCAATATATGTACTAAGACGTAAGATGTTTTTAGTGAAACAAATTTATTTTTCTTTTTGCTACATATATGTATATGAATTAGGCGCCCCCATAAAGTGCCGCCCGGGGCAACTACCCCGGCTTGCCCCCCCCTAGATCCGGGGCTGAGTAAACTTGACCTTGAGGTTGCGCGCGCGACCTAAGTTCCTAAAGACCTCAACTAAACTATCGACTGTGTGTGCGCTTCAATATGAAGCTGTGTGTTATGATTTTTGCAGTTGTACGATAGTTGCACAACTTTTTAATCATAAGTGCACATCGACTCCTTTTGATTAAAAAATCGAGTTGATCTGCAGTTGTGTTGTGTGTGCAGCTACATTAAACTTAATACATTTATGTCCATCGACTAAACTATCGGCCGACTAAAAATCGACCGTGTGTGCCTACCTTAAGTATAGCGTTAGTTCTAGACAGTAACAGTGCTAGTGTAAAACTAAAACTAACACTAGACCTCTGAAGACGCACGGCTAAACCCGAAACTTTCTAGTTCTAGGTCTAGTGTTAGTTCTAGTTTTAATTTTTATGCAGCGATAAACCAAGAATCATTCGGGTTTAGCCGTCTTAAGAGACCTACGGCTAAACCTATATGTTTCTAGTTCTAAGTCTAATGCTAGTTCTAGTGACAGTACAAGTGTAAAACTAGAACTAACACTATGCCTAGAACTAGAATCATTTGGTTTTAGCCGTCTTTAGAGACGTGCGGCTAAATCCAAATGATTCTAGCTCTAGGTATAGCATTAGTTCTAGATAGTAACAGTGCTAGTGTAAAACTAGGTGGTATAACCAAAGCACTTATGCCCCAACGGTCCCTTTGTACATCCTCACGGTTTACTTCGGCCATGTGTAGGTCTATTTGGAGGAGTGAAAGATGTTCGAAGATGGCATCCGATCAGGCTGATACCGCTTCTCGCCTCGCCTTCAGCCGGGCTGGTACTCTAACGCCCAGCAATTTGAAGACGACCCCCAAGCCGGGCTGGTACTCCAACGCCCAGAAACTTGGGTGCATGGCTGAGTACCGCTCAAAGAGCGCAGACGCGCTTTCAACCCGTTNTTTATTAGAAATTTTTGCCCGTTATGTAAAGAAAAATAGTGTCCGCGTCCGTTTATGGGAAATAAATATGTACATGAAAATATAGGTTTGGGGTTGGTTCCAAGATTTTTGTCCGCTTATAAGAGATGTCCGCTTATTAGAGCTGTCCGCAAGGAGAGCTTTCACTGTACAAGATACTCTTAAAACAAAAAAATTTTTTTGTTTTAAGAATAGAAATATTATCGAATGAAGTATGTCATATTCTTAGCATCAAAGAATATCAATTTTTTGTATCAAAAAATCCACTCTAGCGTCAATAATTTATAATACTCAAATGAAGAATTATACAAGATTGTTATTACATGAATAAGTTTTTCTAAAAAGAAAGATACGTTATTCTTGACTTAAGAAATCTATTCTCGATACGAAAATGGGATTGTTAACGTAACACTAAGATACTCTTTTTCAAGATTATTGATTTACTTTTACTAAGAATTCGTTTTCTTGAGAATCAAACATATTTGTATACTTGCTTTGAGAATATGTGATTTTTCTTCACTCAACAAAATGATTTTTTTGTGGATATATAAGAATATGATAAGCTTGAGCTAAGAGTAATAATCTTCGTTCAAGAATATATTTCTCTCTGTATACTGTTACCATGTAGAACTAACACTATACCTAGAAGTGGAATCATTTGGGTTTAGCCATCTTTAGAGATATGTGGCTAAACCCAAATGATTCTAGTTCTAGGTATAGTGTTAGTTCTATATAGTGACAGTGCAAGTGTAAAACTAGAACTAACACTATACCTACAACTAGAATCATTTGGGTTTAGCCGTCTTTAGAGACGTGCGGCTAAATCCAAATGATTCTAGTTCTAGGTATAGCGTTAGTTCTAGATAGCAACAGTGCTAGTGTAAAACTAGAACTAACACTAGACCTAGAACTAGAGAGTTTCGAGTTTGGCCGTGCGTCTGAAGACGCACGGCTAAACCCGAATGTTTCTAGTTCTAGGTCTAGTGTTAGTTCTAGTTTTAATTTTTATGCAACGATAAACCAAGAATCATTCGGGTTTAGCCGTCTTAAGAGACCTACGGCTATACCTATATGTTTCTAGTTCTAAGTCTAATGCTAGTTCTAGTGACAGTACAAGTGTAAAACTAGAGCTAACACTATGCCTAGAACTAGAATCATTTGGGTTTAGCCGTCTTTAGAGACGTGCGGCTAAATCCAAATGATTCTAGCTCTAGGTATAGCGTTAGTTCTAGATAGTAACAGTACAAGTGTAAAACTAGAACTAACACTAGTCATAAAACTAGAAAGTTTCGGGTTTAGCCGTGCGTCTTCAGAGCGTTCAGTGCGTCTAGTGTTAGTGTTAGTTATTGAAAGTTTAAAGACATATTTAGTTAAAATATTCGCGACATAACTTTGAAATTGGGGTCTTTTTTTTTCGATCTTCCCCCTAAACTCGACAGACGCATTCGTAAATCGTTCGTGAACGAGGACCCCCTCGTGCATGACAAGTGACACGAATCCGTCGGTTCACTCCAATGTTTGCTAAACACTCACGTATAAAGTTAATATAGGGATGAATTTCCCTGATACTATATTCGAAAGATTTTCGCACCTTTTCCTTCGTGAAAGTGAAAAACTTTTCCGGATAAACGAATAAATTTGGTAAGTTGGATGAATTTCGTCGTTCGAATCGTCTGGGGGACGGCGATAAATCCGCATTACGGGCAATAAAACCGATATATTCTAACCGAACCACCCCCGCAACGAGCCAATGGCCCAATAAATACGCCCAGCGTCTACTATCACCGTACAAAATATCCATTAGCGTACCGAGGTCTGCGCGTCGACGTTTGGGGCCACTTTGTTACCGACGTCGCGGCGACAAAAGCGACGCTAGGGTTGCAATAAATGACGAAGTAGTTATGGCGCACCCCACATTACCACCCCCTTAGGGAGAGAAACTGCGAAACAATACGAGCAATCAGCGTAGCTTTCTACGTCATCGGGCATCTACACTTTTGTGTGCTGGGTGTTAATACATTTAATGCTTTACATCAAAGAAATTACTTTCTATATTTTAACTACTTAGCTTTAATGGACACTTTTTTATAAAGCACTTATCAACTTGGTAGACTAAAAGAAATCTTAAAAATGTAATCTTAGGAGTAATATTTTTGGTGAGGACCAAAAGAAGTCTACATTTTTACTGATTTTAAATAACAGCGTCACAAAATGATGAATAAAATTGTAAACTTTGCTTGAGCAACCAAAGAAGTATTATAGCCGTTGGTGAGGTGTGCTAGAGAAAGGAGGAACAAATCTAGATCGCAAGTAATGATTACTCCATTCCGAGACCTGATGATCTATCCGCTACATATGATGACACAGGTATTTTATGATAATTTTTTAATAAATTGACATCATTTCGTTGCAACATTGAGTTTTATTTAGCAAAAAGTCGCTACAATCATATTGAAATTTACAACAGGTACTCACCTTGTCGTTAATGATCTATGCGTCAGATTTTAAAAAGCAGCTTTAATGATAACTCATAGATTGATTGGTTTGAAAACTATGACATTATTCCCACCTGTACAGTTAGTTGTCAAGTAAATGTCATCAATAAAGCTGATTTTACATCATGTTGTGAGTTCGAAGAGGATATTTTAAGTTAAAGCCAAACTGAGGAAAATCTTCAGTAAATCGTCTTTAATCCTTTAAAAGTCTGTGTTTGGCAGCAGACGAAAACTGGTAGGTATGTATTCGTTTGAGGTTGTCAAATGAAGGCAACGGATTTATCTATTTCTGACTCACCACTAATCGATGTCCAGAGACGATCTTTGTCAATGTTAGACGACAGATCTTTTAATATCGAAACCAAATTGAGTTGTTAGCTAAACTTGGTCTACGACAACCAGCTAATAGCTGCAAAATAGAAGAATATGTGCAAGGCTACGCTGACAGCTCGGTCCTCACTGATTAGTTTAGTAGACAAAACCACCTTCTCTAAAATGAGGCATCTTTATTATAGCACTATGTTTCTCGGACCATTTGTGACCAGATAAAGAACATTTTAAGAGAAGGAACTATGTCTTTGTAGATAAAATAACCCCTGACTTATGTCAAAATAATCCTATATTACAAATCAGGAATATTATATATTATCTTAGAATGTATTGAATTTTAGTTGGAAATACTCGAGAAATGATCAAATTCTTAAAAATACCTAGATATTCTTAGAAATCTTAGTTTTAAATAAACTCAACCCCAACGTGTATAGTAGAAACCACGAGAGCTGGCAGTGACTTGACGTTTAAAAATGGTATGAATCATATTAATGTAGGGGAACTATGGGTTATT